TGCCCACAGTGCTCATTGTGAAGCTTTTCTCAGGTTCTTGAAAAACATCGGAAAGAATGAAGCAAGCCCTGGAAATGGGTTTCATGTGTTCCTCTGGCTGCAGAGAGCAGATCAGCTACTTCTCTTCTCCAGGAGTCCATTCATGGACTCAGTTATGTCCTCTTTCTTTCACTTCTGTGAAAGCAATTCACCGTTATTTTTTCCCCATAGTCCTACCATGCAGATTACATCACCTGTTTTTAGTAACTGTTTTGGTTTCAGAACAGCATTGACTGTTAATGGCAATCAAACTGCCTTAGAATATTCCACAAGACCATGAGAATTCCTAAGTCTTAACAATACTGAATCTCTTCTGTTCTGTGTGCCTCCCTCACATGGGCTAGGCACGTTTCCCAGTTACTGTGAGACTGTCAGTGATAACCAATAAATAATATTCTGTTCTCTAGTCTTGCCACACTATCTATTAAAGTTTCTACTTTTCCACTCTCAAAGTGCCTGATAGTGTGTGGAAAAACACTGAAAAATAGTTATCTTAACATTACTTTTCAGCTATGTTTAGTAAAAGTAGAGAAATGAGGCCACATCACACTTGGTGTTCTGTACCACCTCCATTTTCACTTCTAGGTTTTAATCATTATGGTTTATTATGACAGTGTAAGCCTTAATACTGTGTTTCAAGATACATTCCCTAAAATCCTTGGCTTCTACCTGCAGTTCTGGAGCTGCCTCTTCCTTCATGTTACATAAACACAGCAGTAATGTGAGAGATGTTGAATAAAAATACTGTGGCTGTTAATCTAACAGCTCTTTCTTTGTACTCTCATCCTCTTTCTGCACCAGAGGGCAGTTACGAGGGGCAGCAGTGTTGACCCCTCACATGTGGACTTTTCCACGTGACTCTAACCTTTATAATCCTTAGGAGTGATGGAAAAGTGCTCGCTTGAAGCAGGTCCTTCTTCCATATCAGTGATGCAAGAGCCCAAAGAAGACGACGGCTGCTAAGGCTGCTTCCATCTGAGGTATGAATAAAGGTTAAAAATAACAGGCTGCAACTTCAGATCTTTTCAGACTAAAATACTGTAATCTCTAGCAACGTGCGTACTGCTGTGAGCTGCAGGAATACGCCAGTTTCATATGGCAATAGGTTAGATAGAGGTGGAAGGATTAATTTCTGTATTTTACAAATGTTTTGATTTACAGTCTTGGAAAGGAAGATCTTTTTGTATTTTGCAGCATCTCTTTTGTACCAAATAAAGCCATATAATTGTGTATCATTAAGATGGTAGCTCTGTTCTTTGAATGGAGAGCTTGAATACTTACATTTCAGAAATTCAATGCAACCCTGTTGCATCAACAAAATAGTTGATGGAGGTCTAATCATCACAGCATTTTAATTGATTTCTGGAGCTTTCTTTTGGCTTTGATTCTTTTTGTTTCAAAGAAAGCTCAACTTTTTCCTTTGTGTACAATTAAGTGTCTGAGTTATGATTGACTGCAGATGTAAAATGTATAAGATTGAGCTTATTGTGCTGTAACAAAAAAGAGAAAAGGGCAGGAGGCTGAGTGTTTTGGTGAGAAGAATGAATCCTAGGAAGGCCGTGTAGAAGTCTTAGTGTTTTGTGGATTCAGAGAAGCCTGCTATTGTGCAACATTTTCGTAAGGGCATGTGCTGTTTTATTTTGATGCTGGCTGTATCCTTCATAGAAGAAAATTTGTTCAATTTAAAAAGTTGGACAGCCAGCAGCTGTTGTCACCTCAGTGTGTTGAAGAAGTGCACTCCTAATACCTTGTCAGAAAATGACACCCAGCTCTTTAGCATTCAAGGAGTCTGCATAATGATTACCTCAGTTACATATGGAAAGCAACTGGAAAACATAATCCTTTTTTTTTTTTAACCTGTAGTTTTAACTCTCCTACTTTCAGCTAGTTAGTACCTTTTCTCCTGCACTTGGAACTAAAAGTACTGAGTTTATGAGCCTTGCACTGGTCTCAAGAGCACTTCTCAGTTTGGCCATTTGGAGGTGAGCAGTAGCTTTTGAATGTTCTAACATGTGCATTCAAAATTTCAGGGGAACATTTGTGTTAGTGGTGAACATAGTTCTCCTGGTGAGAGCTTTTTGCTCAGTTCAGTGAAAGCGCGGGAGCTAGAAGACCAGTAAGAGTTGCGTGGGGTATGTTTATATTGGCAACTGAGAGGGCCAGGAACCAGTCCCTTGGCCCACAGATTGGTACTGTAACTGGCCATATCTGCACCACTGGGGATTTCTGTACAGGGAGTGAAACCTGCTTTAGACTCGCCCATGTTGTCTTCTGGGAATGGTGCCTGGCACTGTGCTTAGGCCCACTTCAGCAGTACAGGTGGGCACCAGGCCAGTGCTCAAACTTGCATCCTTGTCTTCTTTCAGACACAGGTGTACAAGCTGTAGCATCCTGCTAGCAATGCTGGCTCCTCAACTGGAGGATGCAGAGCAGGGAACTGGTTAGCAGCAGTCCTGAGACATACCCCAGTCCTCATAGCCCTGCTGTGAGCTTTACTTACTCTTCTAATGCTTACACTGCTGACAAACCATGGAAAGGAAAGAGGAAGAGGAGAGTGGCTGTCCCATGGCTGCACGAGTAACTGGAGATGGGCACGATTACTGCAGGAAGAAACAGCTTGAGCTTGTCTCAGCTGGAAACAGAGAAAGTTGTGGAATGTCATGTAAACTTTTTTGAGTGACTCAGCTGGGACTGCCCTGGCTGAAGCGTCCCTGTTCTGAAACACCTTCTGTGCACCCCCAGGTTCCTCTTGTGTCCATCACCACCTTCATGCTAGCTCCTTCCAAGAGCCTGCTCATTCTCCTAGTGCTGAGGTGGGCATGTTTTGCCTTGGGTTGCGCCAACCTGTCAGCGGCCTGGCTCCCTGAAACTGGGTGCTCACAGTTTGTGCTTCACCACAGCAAAGCTCTGGTCTTTGCTGGCTTGTGGAGGGAGATGCTCATGCAGCCACTGAAATGTGCACACAGTAGGGACCATCTGAAATAAGTGAGGTGGGACAGCCAGTACTGCCGTCTGTACTTGCATAGAAGAGTGGCTCTTGGTGCTGTGAACTTGCGGAAAATGTGGAAGATAAAGGTCTGCAGCTCTTTGCTGGAGTGGGGCTGTAATGGCCAGTGAGTGCCTCGGTTGGCATTGCACTTCTGGGCTCTACTGATGCTGTTTTCACTGATGTCTGTCAGCATGGAGACTGCAGGATGCCTGTGGGTGAAGGCCAGGCCTTGGTAGGCAGGTATACCTGCATGACCTTGCAGAACCAAAAGAAGTCCCCCACCTCTTCCAGATGGGGCAAAGACCCCACAGGGGAGTGGGGTCAACACACTGCTGGTGTGGTGGTGGGAAAGGGTTGGGCCTCATTTAAACAGTAGCATCAACAGATTCTTAATGCTCCTTGTCAATGTTTGAACAGTTGCCCCTGCAGGCAATGCCCTAACTAACTGCTACCTGGGCAAACACGGATCTCAGGCTTAGCATCTCTCACAGACACCATCTTGTAAAGCCTTGTAATTAAATGCTTTTACTTTTTTTTTTTTCCCCCAAGTTCAAAGCCAGGAAGGAATATTAACCACAGCAACGTCTGCCTACCTACAGACACATTTATTGGCCTACCTCAAGCAGCCACTTCTTCCATCGGTGATGACATGGCCATGGGCTTTTCACCACTGTGCTTACAGCAAAGCCGTTTCAATGCCAGGAAGAAATGCACGGAGTTCATAATGGCAACATAACATTTTTTTTTTTTAAAAGATAGTAATCTCAAAAAGAAAGGTACTTTATAATAAAGACATGGTTATAGCCTTCATGTATCTGCTAAGCTGATAAACAGGTACATGGGTATTGACAAACCAACCTTAAGCAAAGAATAAGACTGGGGGTGACCTAACACCTCACAGCACTGCCACCAGCTTGACTCTGCTTGTCTCCCACCACCACTTCTGGACATAGGACTCCGTGTTGATAAACAGCAGTGCTCTTAGCCCCTGCTCTGTCATCTGCTTTTATGTATGTATGTATTTATTTAGAACACGCACTTTGCTTTTTCTATTGCAAATTACAGAAGTACATTATCTTAGATAAGTAAGATATCTATGATCTCTTGGAAGATCATGTCCATGAGAAGAGGCAAAAACTGGAAGAAATAAAGACTAATAATGAATGCTGCCTAAATGAACAATAGAGAATTAAAATGGGAGTACAAATGAAAAAGGAGGTGTAGGCGGAGACATTCATATAATGTAGAAGATAATTACAAAGTCTTTCAGAAAAAGCATTTCTAGGTACAGGGGAAAAAAGAATCACTGCTTACCAAGGGAAGCATACAGGACTCCAAAATTTTTTTCTTTGTCTAAGATTAACCAAACAAACACGATTTAAGGGCAGCAACTGTGAGTGAGAACAGGTATGAGTGGAGTTGCTTATGGAAGCAGGAGTGTGTAACATCTGAGGTGACACTCAAATCTCAGGAAAATCTGGTTGAGGTTTTACTTTTTGACACAGACTATATTTGAAAAAAACCAACCCACAATCAGGGGTTTTGTGATAAAGAACCTTTAAGAGGAAATCTGTAAAAAGGGATCTTTCAACTTCTCAAAATTCACATGAGAATATCATATTTTTCCTTCAGTTCCAGTTCTCTAGCGAAGCAGATCCAAAAGACGCATTTCACGGCTGGCCGGCTCTGCGAGTGCCGCTGCCGCCCCGGCTGTCCCGGCGGAGCCAGCTAAGACTCCACAGCCACCTCTTGCCTTGGCGTGGTGCTGGGACGGTCCTCAGTGGCACAAGTGTGGGGCAGGGGGCGAAGGAGCAGGTCATGGGAACAAGTGGGGCACAGAGCAGCCCACCTTCTTGAGAATCCCAGGAGGAACTCTGAAGGAGAATTCCTCCTGGAGGAGCCTAATCCAGCACAACTTTCCATGATGCCTCACAAAAACAGCTATGGCTTGAAATCCACCTGCTCCCAGCACTCAGGAGCTGCTGCCCCTCTTCTTCTCAAGCGCTTTCATTAGGTCAGACATGAAATCTGCTTGCCTGCCTCCACCCCCAGAGGTAGGTGGTCCAGCTGACCGTGGCTCTCCAGCTTGTCCTGTGTTTTCTAGCCTTTTTGAGGGAAGTGGCACAGGTTTCTTCGTTGGAGGTGGTGGCTTGCTGGAGACAGGTGGAGGTGGAGGTGGAGGGGGTAGTGGCAAGTCTCCGTTACCGCTGCTGGGGGCTGGTGGTGGTGGAGGCACAAAATCAGGAGGAGGTTCACAGAAATCAGATGGTGGTGGTGGAAAATCAATTCTCAGCGTAGGTGGCGGTGCTGGAAAGCTGTCTGGGTCTGTTAGGAAAACGCCGCTGTCTCGTGTGACTTTGGAGGGTAGGACTGGTGAAGCAGAAATAGCAGAGGACCGCCTTTCAGGTGGAGGAGGAGGCTGCAGTGAGTTCCTCCTAGCCTGGTGCTTCTGCAGCCTCATCACTGGCTGGGCCGGGCCAGGCGCACCGACGTCGTTTGACTTGGCCTTTAGGACGCAGAAGGAACAAGAGGACATGACACAGTCAGTGCACATGTAAACTAACACCAATGCCTAAGAGCAGTGAAAAGATGTGGAAATGCAAGAGAAGAGTCACTGGACAGACAGCAAAGTGGAGTAGAGTACATTTTGCATGCAGAGTACAAATAGTATCTTGTTTTCTTTCTGGAGCTGCCCACAGAGCTCTGCCAGTGGAAACCTCCATGCTGACAGTATTCACAGTGCTTAGCTGAGTGCTGTCCTCAGAAAATGAGGGCTTTTACCTTTCAAATAATTGCACTTAGTAAGACATATAAAAGTACTTTCTTTGTGTTCCATTCTGTTGTTCATTCCCTGAGAACATGGAGGCTTAAAAAAACCATCTGTGCTGTATTTTTACATCCAAAACTCCTAAGCAAAATTTGAGAACAGACGTAGTTTCGGCTCTCATCCCCACTGTATCTCCGTCTCCCATTCTAGCTGTGACTGATGCATGTCTGGATGAAGCTAAAGTAACGAAGTCACCTATCTCTGCCAAAAATCCTGAGGCACAGCAGCAGTGAAGCGGGAAGGAGGTGGAGAGATTTGGGAACCGGGAGTTTAGGTGCCTGGATTCACTGTCCTTGGCCCTCCACAGCATGGTGTGAGAGGTGTTCAGCCACAGGGGAGCTCACCAGTGACCTGCAAAGGGGAAGGGTCTCCTCTGCCTGCTTGGCAAGGCACATGCACACACCACCCCCACTTTTGAATCAAAGTGTGACAAACAGGTCCTCAGAGCCTCTAGGTTCTAGCCATGTTTGTAAGGTCAGGAGACATTCAAACCCTCTGACAACCTTCCTGAAGGAAGAATGAATCAAGGCATCCATCATACAAGTCAAGAAGATTAAAATGTAGGATAGCAATTCTTTATGGAGAGGTTTACTTTGGCAAAATTTATAGGTGGCTTTTCTTTCAAACTGTGTTTGCTAGTTGACACTGAAGACAGATAAAGCCCCTTTGGTGATACCTGAATATAATTTGCTCTTCCTTGTCTTTTTCAGGTAGCAACTGGTAGCTGTTGACAGTTACTACATGAACATGCTTATCTATTCTTATCTTATCTAAACCAGTGGAGAAGTCTGCTGTGCTGAAAACAAAGCTTTGTAACACATTAATTTCTGGCTATGCTATTGTATCAGTTTAGATCCAGCTAGCTTAACGCTCTAACTGTAGTCTGCTCCCTGAAAAACTTCACCTTCGTCCTTGAGTCCCAGGCTTGTAGAAGCTGTGAGACAAAGAAGGCAACATGTTTGCTTCTTCCAGAGAAAAGTGCTCTGGCACCCAGCAGTCAGCAGTACTAATTCTGACATTAGCCAAGTATACCATGCATGCCTCCTCCTCCTCCATCGCCTTGCCTACAGAGATGGAAGCAAACGAGACACAGGAGGAGGAAACCACTGGCTGAGTTCTGAGAATGTGATCTATTCCAGAGGAAGTGAGGTTCAGAACAGAGAAACAGATCTTTTTAAAGGAGAACTCAGAAACGCGAAGCATAGGACCTGTAATGCAGGGGACAGAAAAATCCTAGGAATTTCATTTCACTTGTCCTGTGCACTTTATGTGTGATGGAGAGACTGAATAAAGAACTGCAAACAAATGTAGGTTTGTTTGGGTTTTTTTCTGTAGAATGTTTTTGAAGTCCTAATACTGTACCCTACTGATATTTTTACAGCCAGCGGTGGTGCAAGTAAACAAAATTTGGAGCTTAACTAAGGAATGCATTTAGAGCCCAATGTAAATGTAATGTTTTCCCTTCCTTCTTCCCACTTTCTTACACACTCCCTTCAGCTGTGCGCAGTGCACCCTGCTGAAAACACCACTGCATCCCTTGTGTTAGTGAGGCAGGACCTGTCTTCTGGCAGGGACAGAAAATGGCACCGAGGTTCTGGCAGCACAGACTCTTTGAGACAGTCCCAGCTAGGCACCTTCCTGTGCCTGCTAAGTGAACTCGCAGCTATTTGTCCTGAAGAACAACAGCAGTGTGTGGTTGCTCCTTCACCTCCTGTCAGTGGCTCCCTGCTTCTGTGCAGAGGGCACACTTAGCCTGTAAAGCATGAGGAGGGGCAGCAAGGAACCAGCTGCTTTGCCCAGGGGCCAAATCCTTCTCACAACACTACACTGGCACTTTGAGGGAGGCAGACAGTGAGAGAATTCTAAACAGACGTGAAGATCTGGTTCATAGGTGACATTTAACTGGTGCGCTGCTAGTAAGTGCTGACCTGTACCTCTGATGTAGCCACTTGCTTCTGAGTCTCTGGAAATTCTACACTGGAACGATGAACAATTTGGGGAATCTGACCATTTGACTGCACAGCACCTGTGACAAGGAGAGGAGACAGAACGAAGAGAATGTCATATTTTTTCATATTAACCAGATCAGGGAATAGCAAATTAAGAAAAAGGCTATAAAAACATCTTTACAACTTCCACCAAGGAACCACACAGTGCAGGGTTTTTATACATAATTCAGTAAAATGCATGAGGATCTCTGTTTTCTACTTCAGGCTTATTTTGTGACTTTTCACAGTCAGCTCATTCCCTAAGGAAAATAAACAAGATACCTTACATTAAAACTAATACCTGTCCTCATGTCTCCATGGTTGTAGCTGTCAATCCTACAGGAAGTGCAAGTGGCAGAATTATGAAGACATATGACAGAAATTATCAATGTGTTGACAAATCAAGAGCTTTTTCTTCTGACTTCTATAAATTATGATAACAGAAGGAGACTGTTAAGGGTGACACAGGAACAGAGAAGGGGTAGCTGCCTTTGGAAGTGAAGCGAAGCAGAAATCAAACTGGCATAGTTCAGCCCACCCTCTGGCCTTCTGTTGTCCAAGTACCTGTCTTTCATAACAGCATTCTGAAGTTTGTAGTGAGCTGTAGTATTAGTACATTCTCAGGTTTTACTGCATTTTTTTCCTATACAATAGGCTAAGGATTAAAAGTACCATAGTTTCATATCAATAAGAGTCATGAGAGCTGGAGGTCTGAAGTCCTACAGAAAGGCTCATCCATTTTCTTTAGCAAATGAGCAAACAGCTTTGAAACTTCTCCCCCATCTGGAACCACGGAAGATTTGCAAGCCTTGCTGTACTCTCAGATGAGTGGCTGCTGTGCTAGCTGCCCAAGTTAGAGCTCTGCAAAACACCCGCCCACCGTGACTGTGGTTGTAAGGGATAAATAACACAGCACTGCCAAATGGAGTAAAGTGAATGTGAGACCAAAGGACAAATCTGTGGGTTTTATTACGAAAAAAATCCTCAGCCCCTGTATAGTCTGATGAGGACTATAAATAAACTCTCCTGTTTAGTCTGGGATTTTTGGAAGCCGCACATGTCAAAGCAATAGGCAGTGTCTGGTGCCTAGATACATACATTTGTAAACCTTAATGACTGCCTTAGCCCTGTTACAATTCACAGTTCTGAGATCCAGTGAAGTTCCACTCGTGTACTCCTAGTGAGCCCTCAGCTGTCTACAGTATAACTCTAAGCACAATGATGGTTTTAATCTTAACATGTACTTTTCTGATTGCCAAAGAGGTCCCATGAATATGATAACAAATCGAATAAATTATTTTTATTGCTGTGCCTGCATACGATTGACAGAGAAGACAGACTCTGCAGTGTATGGAGTGACTGGGGCTCTTCAGGCTTCAAGGGATGACAGAAGATGGTCTGAAGTCCTTGTGTTTTATGCTTGTGCCTGCATGTTGTTCAGCATAGTTAATCCAATGTACCACTTTCATCATTCAAACTATAGTTTGTGTTTGTTGAAGGACTAACATGGAAGTCAATAAAGACAGAAAACCAATCTCTAAGTGCTCAGTGAAGAGAGAGAAACCCCTGGGCTCTGCGGCCATGCTCTCAAGTGGAGCAAGTTGCTGCCTATCCTCGCTTCATCTGCTCTCCGTAGCAGAGTTTGGGCTCCACGCTGCTCAAAGACATTGCTGCCTTCAGTCATCCTGAGATTTAACTAAATGAAAGAGCAGAGAGAGATTCATTCTCTATAGTGCCTGGTATAGTATTCTGCTTGGCAAATATGATATACCAGAAAGGCTGGACATGGCTAAATTGGAATCTGTTTCTTCTTCTCTTAATGGATTTCATAAACTATGCAAGACTTGAAAGCAACATTTGATACATCAACTCCTGCCACATACCTGCACATATGCTATACACAAAGTCAATCAGCTCAAGGATTTCCAGCTAATCCAACATGTGAATTCATGCATTCTGTTATCAAGATTTATTTTAAAATGTTACAGTATTCTTTACAAGTAATTTTCTCCAAAATTTTATACTGAATTAATATTTGTTTTAAGAAAAAAAAATGTTCTACATATAATGCAAAATATATAATGCAAAATACTGCGCCACGGAGTGATACAGAACACCTGAATAAAGCAACATCCTTCACCTTTCCAACACGACGGTCTTGTGCTGGCACACCACATACGCTGCTGGTTTCAGTGTCCAAAGACACACCGAGTGAGGCTGAGGGGCATGTGCCTGGCACGTGGGACACGTCAGAACCAGGGACTATACACTTTGGGGCACACCCATCAGCAGCTACAGCAGCCTGACCAGGGGATGCAGGCTACATGAGATGTGGGAAGTTCCACCTGCCCTCCCAAGTGTTGCTTTTGGCTGCCACTGAAGTTAAACTAGATCACAGCCCCCTGCTAAACTCACACAGCCCTACTTTTCTATATCAGATTTTAGCCCAAAATGAAATCATACCATGGAAATGGCTATAGAATCCTAGAATCATTTAAGTTGGGAAAGACCTTTAAGATCATTGAGTCCAGCCATTAACCTAACGCTGCCAAGTTCACCATCAAACCATGTCCTTAAGCACCACACCTACACATCTTTTAAATACCTCCAGGGATGGTGACTCCATCACTTCCCTGGGCTGCCTGTTCCAGTGCTTGACAAACCTTTCGGTGAGGAAACTTTTCTTAATATCCAACCTAAACCTCCCATGCAGCAACTTGAGGCCGCTTCCTGTTGTCCTATCGCTTGTTACATGGGAGAAGAGACTGACCCCCACCTTGCTACAACCTCCTTTCAGGTAGTTGTAGAGAGCAATGAGGTCTTCCCAAGCATCCTTTTCTCCAAGCTAAACAATCACAGTTCCCTCAGCTGCTCCTCATAAGTCTTGTTCTCTAGACCCTCCACCAGCTTCATTGTCCTTCTCAGGACCCACTGCAGCACCTCAATGTCTCTCTTGTAGTGAGGGGCCCAAAACTATACAGCCATCTGAAAACAGAACTGAAGAAAACACGCTTTGTTCCATTTCCAAAATGTAAGCCAAGAACAGCTCATGGTCAGGCAGTTCAGGTTACAGTATCATAGCTGGGCCCCAGGTTTTACACAGGGCAGCAATGGTAACTGTAAGACAGCAAGAATCACAGTGACTTGCCTCAATTACAATACTAACAATCCTTCAGAGAGATTTCCACAGAGACAATATACATGACTTTCCAGGCCACTTAACCATTTAATGGAATCCATTAGTTAAGATTAACAGTGTATTTTATGATCACATGCAGTGTTCCTGGAGTCTAGTCAGGAGCTAACGTTATACAGATGTATAATATACTTTATAAGGCCTCCATCCTGCCCATATCCAGTACAGACTGCACTGGTGTGGAGGTTCACTGGCCAGCCACCTCTCCACTACCATCAATACTAGAACACAAAACGCTCCACAACTGTCCCATCCACCCTTGCTAAAGTACCCCCATGCACAACCACCAAAAAATCCCAATGTCCAAACAGTCTGTTACTGGATCTCCCTGCCCCAGATGTACATTTATTACCATGATTTGACTCCAGGCAATAGCAGAAACACCACCCCCTCCTCACATAGACTGAGAAAAAGCAAACAAAAGCCTTGGAAAGGTGTTTGGACAATTTTGAGCTGTCCATATGAGAAGTCAGAATACTAACTACCCACACTGATTTTGACTTTGCCTGTCTTATGACAGTAAGTACTTGGCCAGTACATCCTTCCTTAATAAATAAAGCCTACCTTAAGCATGTAAACTAAAAACATTCATGCAAGGCAGAACCAGTATCATGCACTGTTGTACTGTATAATGATAAAACAGGTAACAGCAACATGCTGAAGCTACTAGAAAAGTAAAATTAGAGAATAACCCAACCCTTTCTTCCTCTGCATCCTTCTAACACCCATATTGTTCTCATGCAAATGAGTGAAAGGTTAGGAAAGAGAGTATCTCACCCCAAAATAACCTCTTTCTGAAATGATCATTCTCAGATTATCCCACTCATCCCTTTTACTCATTGGAGGAAAAGCTCTGATACAGCCAGTGTAGAGATGGGCAAACAGCAAAGTTCAAGACATGGACCGTCAGTCTGTAAAATGTAGAGGGTGGACAAAGGATCTGCATTCAGATGCCAACAGAAGAATACTTCATTAAATTATGCATATTTAAACTGACCTTTGAAAGGCTGTCCTTGTATTCTTCAGTTTCTAACTGTAACGGGAGAGCTCTGCTGCTAGCTTAGTTATAGAGCTGCACTGGGCTGTCTAGAACAAGATACCTTGCAGAAGCTGTGGGAGAGTTTTCTGAACAAAGAATGTGCAACACTGATGATAACAGAACAGGGCAATAAATGTGTTTTTAACTGCCGTGACAGCATCAGTACCTGCTGCTAAGGATCCTACAGGGGTGGCTGGTTCCACTGTCTCTTCGTTTGGATATTGTCTCTTGGTTTTGGACAAGGCAGCTCTCTTCACTGCACATTTGTAGTTATCATATAGCGTCTTCCCATACTGCAAAACAATGGAAACAATACAATAAGCATACTGTTAAGCTTGAAATAGGCCAAGCACACATTTTGCTCTCAGACAACTTTTCTGACCCCATTCCTTCCTACCTAGTTTTGTTAAAAAGTAGCTTTCTACAAGTGCTGTGCCTAGTTCTGTATAGGGCCAGGTGGAAAGCATCTCCACAACAGCACGATAAAACACAAATCCCTGTGACCAAACACAATTCTACTGATATCATTCTCATAGTTATACTCATTTCGGTATCTGCAAACATCTTGAAACTTGGATTTAAAACCAGCTGTTCTCAATAAGTATCTTTTTCCAATGTTTTCCAAATATCACATTTTCAAAATGGAGACCTGGAACATTGAATCCTGGGCTCTAAAACCTACAGCTCTGTCAGTGTAAGACACAAAATAATCTGATGTTCACCTCACACCCTGGATTGTACCCTGCAGCTGAACTGGCAGAAAAGAATGTATACCTAACAGGACTGGATCTGTATAGCCAGGTACAGCCAGTATACTGGGCTATGTATAAAGCCATCTGCCCTAATATTTTGTGCAAACCAAAGCGGTCTGTGAATTCAGATCTTTTTGAAGAAGGTGAGGCAGACAATCTGAGCAGAACTGTCTGAAACATGTCACAGCTGGACTGACCAGAGCTTGCACATCTTTATCCACAGCATATTGTTATTATGCCAGATAGTTGTGGAGCGAGCTTTACCAGTACACGAGTTCTACAGCTAGAGAATTCACCCTTATGTTAATGAGAAAGAACACAGTGATAACTAGGGTACAGGAACATTCAGCAAATCCACCCTGCTCATGCCCTTCTGCTCTTTTTCTATGGTAAAATTAGCACAAATGTCCATTCTTGTCCTAGTATTTCCAGTTGTGGCGGTAACAGTCAGTAACCTGAGGAAGACAAGATTTTACAGAAAACATATTGAACTATATTTACTTTTAATCTCACCTTGGCAATTCTTATTCCTGTTACCCACTGGTGCAGGGTTGCTTGATCATCGCAGCATAAGTACTTGATGTATTGTGACTCCTTTTGAATCTGGGGGTGCTGAAAGACATTGATTCACAAAGTAAGACAAACAGAGAAATCAAGTTCATACACAGAAGTGCAAGGGCACTGCACAGCGACCTTGGTGAGAACACTGCCTAGAGGCATCATGTTAACCTGAAGACAACTGGAAAAAAAAAAAAGAAGCAGCAAAACAAGAGTATAAAAAAATATAAAAAAGATGGTGATTATGAACTATACATGGGTTGCCACTGGCAGCATTTGCTTGAAATCATTTTAATGTGTTGTAATATGAATTCAAGGGCTACAGCAATCTAACAGAGGTCTGGGGTTCAATGAAGTCTGCAAATGTCATCGTTCACATCTAACACTCAATGTATAAACATGGGAAGTCTGTTTCTCATTGTGGTTTGTCGTCTGTAAGGCATCCAGACTGAATGCTGAACTGGCAAAGTTCAGTTTTCAAAGAATGTTAGATTTGTTTAAGCATAAACTCTTAGCTGAAACAGACTTTCTTTGGGGCTAGTTCTAGCTTTCTTCCTATATGTTTTTATTCTGCTTTACTCTTGCTGTTGTTTGCCAGCAGTTTCGTAATGCTGCCGAACATTTTAGACAAAGGATCACTCAAAATGCAAGGCCATCACAACTCATCTTTTTCTTCTGTTTGTACCAGAAACCTTTACAACTTTTAAACTTTTGGACACAATTTAGGATCTCTTCCCTTTGCTGACCAATATAGTAGTGGTATGTGGTGATGTGTCATTGCAGCTCAAAGACTACCGAAACACCTGGCTGCCTACTTGCCTGAGACCAAACATCATCTCTAATCCCCTGCAGCGATTTGGTTCCCCTGCTAAGCAGAGAAGGCTGTAAGTTTTTGGTTGCTGGGATGGAATAATATACTGCCATCTCTTGATTGGCAAGGAAAAGAATGAAACCAAAGGAAAAGGCTTCATTATCCAGTTCATGTGTTCATTTCTACTTATATTCTTAAATTATAGATGCACATTTAGTGAAATCTTGTGAATCTGTAAATTCACAGAAGAGCAGCTGAACATGCTCCAAAGATTCACTGTTGTCAAACAAGTCTCCTCTTGGCCTGGGCAGTTGAAAATTCAAAGCATGCCTCCACTCAGCAGCAAGGACCCTGGTTTTATACATATTGTTAAGTCCCCAAAGCAGAGCAGTGCTGGACACAAGGAACTCGGGAGGATCCTCCACAGTGCAGAGCACTGTGAGCAGCCCGCCAGCCCAGGGCTGACGTAGGCACCAGATGTCTCCTTGCAGATGCCCGCTGGTGGCGTGGGCATCCCCAGTATGGAGGCCAAACCCTGGCCACGGCTGGATGATCCAGGGGTTCAAAAGCAGAGCTGAATACAGAGGTTTTGCTCCGCAGCCACATGTCCCTGGCTCTCCCCTCAGTGCCACATGCATCAGGCTTCCCTTACTTGTACTGAGCCCACTGTTTATGAAGCCACATTGTGATTCAGAAAAAAAGGAACTGTTCTGGGTTAAATATAACCCATTTCATCATGTTTGGTTTAGTTTGGTTTGGTCTGCTTTTTTTTTAAGCCCAGCAGTACACAGCATGGCCTCACACACAGCATGGGGGAACGGAAAACTGTGGCTTGGGGACAGAACAAGTAGCGAGGGATGGATGAGAGGATGGGACTACACAAGCCAGTATTGTATTGCTGCCAAGCATCATCAGTTTATGGAGTGAGAGTCAACATGCCAGGGAGATAGCTGTGAAGAAGAAAAAAACAAAGGGATATTACTCTTGAGGGGGTCTTGCAGTGACAGATGTGTCCCAAAGCAGTGCTGGGGGTCCCTGCATGCCATACTGTTAGCACTTTTTCAGCAAACACACAGCTGGCCATCTCCCCTGCACAGTGCATGTGCAAAGTGCTCTTCAGGCCTCTGGAAGGGCCCTGCCTACCTTATTCTGTTACTTTGATCTTGGGCACTCCCAAGGTGAGAGCTCGAGACATCTCGTACTGTGAGCCCAGAGATGCCAGCTCACTGTCACCAGGTGCCTAAACTGTAGAGCAGGCACCGTGCCCATCCCCTGGACCTGTGCCTCACCCACCTGGTACACTCACACCCCACCCCTTTACACAGTTCAACGTGCAGGGCCCTATCTTGCTGCTATCCACCTATGCCACATATCAAACAGAAGCAGTAACCAGGGCCCCTGGACAAAGCCTTCTCCAGCTCCTCAGTGTCTGTCCCTGTCTCTGCCAGCCTCATACAGCCTGAATGGTCCTCAAAGTGGGCTCTGCTACTGCGGTGCACAGCCAGGACACAATACCTGAAAGTCCTTATTTCCTTCCACCATTTCTCCACTATGTGACCTAACAAAGTGAAAACCATTAGAAAATTCTGTCTGAATGGTATTTTTAAAGAGGAACTGTACACAGACACTTCTCCAAGTGGCAAAGTACATCCCATACATGTAACCATAGGGTTACATTATCACCAGCAGAGCCAAAAAAAACAGCAGGTACAAAGACACTACAACCTTGGCTAAATTCAATTCTTCAAGCACTTTTCAACTGGCAAATTTGCTCAAATGTGCAAGGTCCTACTGAACCCAGCAGATGGCATCCAAAGCTTCCAAAAATGAAAAAAAGAACGGATTTTTTTTTTTTTCTTTCTTTTTATGAGAAGAAAGTCCAATGGTTCTACATATCTCCCCTCATTTTCAAACACCACACCAACAGTTATTACCAGAAAAAAGACAACTTTTATAATTTAACAGATAACTAACCACAAATATCTGGAAGAAAGTGCACACTGCATAAACAAGGCAGAGGAAGACACAGAACAAAGCAAGCTAGGCAACAGTGCTGCACACAGACACAGCCCAGCCATGGGGAGCTGCTGCTGGGGAGCTCAGAGGGGCTGCTGCAGACCTCTCCCCTGGGGCACCTGATAGAAATATCAGTTTCACAAGAACATCTGTACTGCGCCAGATAAAAGGTTCCTGAACCCAGTATCTGGACTTTGACAGTGGCAACAAATGGATGGAAGAGAAAGAACAAGACAAGCACGTATGATACTTCCTTCTCTGTACTCTCCCTGTCTGCAGCTATTTTTAGGCCAGGGGATTTTCTGAGCCATATGAGGTTTCTCTGTATTTAGGTTCCTCAGTGGATTTCTCCTCCCGGTACTTCTTCAGCTTTTTATTGACCCCAGAGAGAGTTCTGGCATCCACAACATGTTTCAGCAACAATTTTCCTAGATCTTCCACACACTCTATGAAGAACGACCTCCTTTTGCCCTAAGCCTGACTGCTACTTGCTCTGTGTTATGTTCTTGTTTTGGAAGAGCCACAGCTGACCTCTATCCACACCTCTCCATGCCACTCTTGAGCCTAGAGATCTGTATCATATTCTTGGCAAGCTGCCTCATTTCCAGCCTGTAGGCTTTTAGTCTCTGCAGTCATTCCTCAAGCCAAAGTCATTCCTTACCTTTGCTTATCCTTCTTGCTCCTCCTCGATCCTGTTCCAAGTTTACTATGTCCTCTTTGAGATGAGAGGATCAGAACTGCACAGGCGAGAGGAAACCAAGGACTTGTGCCACAGTATGGCAACATTCACTGTTTTATCATCTATGTCTTTCTTAATCATTCCTCATGCTTGATTTGCAAATCTGACCAACACTGTGCACTGAAACAAAGCTTTCATCAATTTATATACCATATCAGCATCTTGCTCCTGAATGGTACAGCTCAGCTCCAAGTTAGTAACTTCACAGGTGAAGCTGTGATCACTTTTGTCCCCATGCACATTCCTGTGTATACCCAAATCTCACATTATTTGTGCTTTCAGTGGCCAGAAGCTCAGCCTCACAACGGCCTTCCAGAATTCTTCAGTCTCTTTCCTGAATGATCTGAATAACATAGCATCATTAGCAAGGTTCCTCACCTCACTGCTTACCCTGCCTAGGAACATCTTCAGACTGTGGGGTACTCACCATCCTGAGAAGCTGAGAGGGAACTGTCAGTGAACAAAGCTAGAGTGTCCCGTGCCAGCCAGCACAGGAGTTATTTACTGCTTGCCCTCGACCCTCTCTGCTACTAGCTGTTGTCTCCACTGGGCAATCTATCTTAACTACTGACATTCACCAGTGGGGCCTAGTCCAAATCACCCCAATCAGCTTCTTGATTAAATTACTTCAATCTGCAACCATGATTAAATGCAGTCTCAAGTATATTCTGCCAATTAGGGCCCAAACTAGCCAGCTGCTGAACAGCCAGCTCTCATAAGGAAGGTTAAACATCTCAAGCCTGCACAGGCAGCCTGTACCTAGCTATTCCTAGCAGCTAGGAACTCTGTATTGTCTCTTTCTTTCCAAGCAGCAGCAGCAGCAGCAGCACTGGCTCTCTTTTTATGTGTAACTTTACCAATGACGCATAAAAACTAACTTTGTACTGGACTCATAGCCCACTGAGGTCGACTGGAAATAACCCCATAACCTTCCCTGGGTTTGGGTCTAAGGAGGACTATTCCATGCTGGCAGTGCAGAGGCTGTGTGCAAGGCCTGACCACGGGACCAAACACCAGCAGAATCAAGCTTAATACTGAAGGTTTATACCTTTAAAAGATTATTTAAAAGTGGCACAGATGGAGACATTTGGCTGTGGCTTTTATATGCATGAAGCATGCTGCTTTGGATAGGAAGGTATAAAGTTTCAACCAAGAACTGTCACGTCCCTCCCCAGCAGCTTGTTCACTTGAGAAGAACTGTACCATAGTGCCGTTACTTTGGTAGTAAAAGTGGCAGAATTCTGTGCACTCAACACTGGCCTTTACAAGCTCAATTCTCCACTGAAAACTTCTGGTCACATGGAAAACCCATTAGACAGTACACAAAAATGCTGACTTGGGATAATCAATTCAGAGAAGAATCTGGACAGCTGAAAGTCACTGGCAATGACGACTTGGTGTGAAGATCCACGTAAATCAATTTCCTCCTTTCACAGCTCCTGTGTCTCAGGACAGTTGTTCAGTACAGCACACAGACATAAGGAGCTG